TTGCAGGTAGTAACATTGATAACAGCACAAGCTCTGTACAGCAGAAACAATCACATGTGATTAAAGCATGCGAGCACACTGCCAGTGTGCAAGGACCGTGCCAGCATTCACCTTGCATTAGTGACGCTCAAGATTCACAAGCTGCTGCAGTTGGTATGGACAATATATCAACTCCGAAGCGTAATCAGGCTTGCCATTCTATCTCCTTCATTCAAGGGTAAGTTTTTTTTATTGCATCATACAGGGGTCCCAAGTTAGAAGAATCAATTCCAGGAGATCTGGTTAAATTTTACTTTCTCAACACATCTAATTTCATTTTGCAGCGCATTGTGCTACCCATCGGCACTGAATTCCATGTGATAATTGACAAGAAAATAGTAAAAACAAGCAAATATTATGAATTTGTAGGAGGTTGATTAATTTCCAGGAGATCTTGCTTGCTTGCAGGGAGAAAAAGAGAAACAATGGATTTTCACAGTTCAGCACAGCACATACAAAGTGGCGTCTGCTGGTTTAGCCAACTGAGCTATGCTGGTGTCTTACATCAAAGCAATAATGTTGTATTATCAGATAGAAGAAAGCTGTGGTACAAATTTCTGTATTATTATTATCATCATTCTTATTATTATACTATTAATATTTTGCTATTTAAGATTTGAGCCATCAAAACTGGACATGAATGTTTACTTAGCACTGGAGAATGTGACTGTACCTCACACATATCCTAATGTCATTGCTTTCAAAAAACTTGTAGAAAGTTATTCCGAGTCTGTCAGAAAAAGGTATGTAATCAGTATTACCAATGCTACGTAATCAATATTACCAATGCTATGTAATCAATATTACCAATGCTACGTAATCAATATTACCAATGCTATGTAATCAATATTACCAATGCTGTGTAATCAATATTACCAATGCTATGTAATCAATATTACCAATGCTACGTAATCAATATTACCAATGCTATGTAATCAATATTACCAATGCTACGTAATCAATATTACCAATGCTATGTAATCAATATTACCAATGCTGTGTAATCAATATTACCAATGCTATGTAATTGGGTTCTGGTATCCATCTTTAGCCTTGCTCAGTGTTATACTCTAAACATATTTTAAACAAATGTTGATATTTTACAACTTAAAACAAAATTGTTTTAATAGTGTTTTTACTTTATTTGTTTTAAAGTTGGAAAACACCGATCAGATTAAGGCGACATTGGCCATGGGGCCAAGAACATGAATCCAGTCCTCTGATTGGTGGAAGATCTGATGTGAAAGCTTACAATATCTCGCAATCTCTTTCGCCAACTTTTGAAAGGAGGAGAGTATTTTCATCTGGTAGCAATGCTCGAGACATTAAAGAAAAGTTGTTTATTGACGCTACATGAGTTCATCTGAATCTATCGTATAACGGTTATGATACTTACCTGCCCATTCCAATTGAATTTAACAGTGGCGGATCTATTCCTTTACCTTTTGTGGGGTCCAGGGGCTGTTCTCCCTAGAGGCTTCACAGTTTTAGCCGTTTTAATATCTCATCTTAAAAATTCAAATCCTCTCATCTCAAAATAAACCCTTTTACCACTGCCTGAATCTGCAAGGCAATGGTGGTCATAAATATGGGTTATTTTTCATTTTATTTCACTTGTAATTTGCAACTTAACTTAGAGGGACAAATATAGTTTTTGATTAAATACTGATGGACACACCAATATTTTTTGTTTCCAGTGTTTCCAAAAACCTTCATGCACTGTTTTTATTCCACTTTTTACAGATTATTGGTGCCTGTATTGTGTTTTGATATTTTTTATATAAAACCAACTTCTTTTTTTAATGACAAAATTATTTGACCCTTGGATGTGGACACAATAAATCTGATGTTTGTTGGCCTATGTATTTAGAGCACTTTGAAATACGATACAACATAATGTTGAAAATGGCTAGGTATTGATTACTGGTTTGTGTCACCTGATGTTTGTTGGACTATGTATTTAGAGCACTTTGAAATACGATACAACATAATGTTGAAAGTGGCTAGGTATTGATTACTGGTTTGTGTAACCATTATGATTTTGTTACATAATCATGATGTAATTCAGTTAATAAAACAACAACCATCACCGTTTGAAATATTTACATTTGATGATGATGGTTTTATTATAACTTTTTTAAAAATAAATATATAAATCGTGTTGAGGAAGGAAATCTTGATATGAGTGTCCGGAACTTTACTCAGTCAGCCCCAACTATGGTGGGGCTGAGCTTAATGTCGACTCACCAAACATACTCAGACCGAGGTGGATGTGGACTCGGCCTCTAGCCAGCAAAACCTCCTAACTTGAAAGCTAAGCATTTTTAAGACAAAAATGTCAACACCCCCCTCCCCCCACTCCGCTCATTGCTTTGCATTTTGCCCTTGCCTGCTATGTCCTTAAGATTGGTACTGGCCAAAAATTCTTTCAACAAATCAAACTGTCAGCTCTGGATTACTGCACAAATCCAGTTTTAAATTCACGTACCACGCCCATACACAATTCAGCACCTTACCATTTATCTATAAATAATGATTTTTGGTAAGAATGGGTGTTTCTAACAAAATAATGTTTGCTAGAATAATTTTATAGGCATAACTTTATTGGAAGTGCCTTGAATAGCTGGTTGTTTCATTTTTAATTATTAAAGAATCGTGCAGCTCGTTTTTGATTAAAGAGGTTGATATGTTTTCAACAGTAGACGCCAAGATAAAGTAGGATAAATTATTGTGTAATGCGAACCTATTTGATCGGACACAGTTTGTATCCTATTTAAAAATATTAACAGGATATTGAATTTTGGTAAAGTGTACTTGCTGAATGTATTGTAATTAAAATATTGCCTACACAATACTTATGTTACTTTAGTAACATAAAGAGGAAAACGCTTATGTTAGTTACTGGTTTGTGTTGACGGCATCGGGTTACATTATTTAATGACGATATTATTACAGTATTTTAAGTTAATAAAATGGTCATCACCATGCAGAAACACAGTCAATAAAACCACAACAATAATGTACGTACCTGCAAACGAACTAAGCAAAGGTAACAAAACACTGTAAGCAGAGTCGTCAGTCTTTAAGGAAGTCGGGAAGGAGGAAACGGTTGGCAAAGTCGTGCTTGAGATACAAGTATTAGAAAAACTAAGCACTTATTGTTTGCAACAGTATGATATTCTACTCATTCATAATGGTACCAGTCGCATTCATGGTGAACATACATGCCGGTATGCATAATTTTTATAATAATTTTAATTTTCCATGATTATTACATCTACACAGACATTGGCTAGGACTGGAACATGTGTCTGTGTGTGTGTATTGTGTATGTATGTGTG